CCTCATCTCTCACTGTTTCCCCCCCCCCCCTCTGCTCCAACTGCATACAGCTGCTTGCGAGTTAATCACGTTCTTGCATGTCTTGATACCGTTCCCCCCCCCCCCAATATAGACACTGCAACTGAATGGCTCCTGTGGGCCCCTGAGTACACTGGCACTTGCCCCAAACACCCCTCTGCTATCAGGCCCGGCCAGCTCCTTTGAAAATACCTGATTCAGATGTTTCCCCCCCCCAGGCTGTTCCTCTAACTCCCCAAGCTGGATTAGTGCCCTTCGTCTGTGTCCGTTCTACTGCCTTGGACATCTATATTATTTAATAATATGTGCCTGTCCTTGCTACAAAACTATGGGCTCTGCAGAGGCCAGGGCTGTGTGCTGGGGCCTCTGGGGCCTGGCCCCTGGCCCGGAAGAGGCCTCGGCGACTGTGCTGAGGAAATGAGATGAGGTGCATGGAGCAAGCAGCATGCTTAGGGCCCAGGGCTCCAGGGGAAGAGCTACCCCAGGGGCTCCTGTCTCTCTTGGGAGCCTTTCCCGGCAGAGCCCGGTGCCACCTTCTTGGCCAGCCTCCTAGGAGAGCTGCAGGTGCCCATACTCACCTCCCTACTGGGAGAGGGGACAGCTCTCAGACCCTGCATCTGAGCTTCGCAGGTGTCACCTTCAGCCTGCCCTCTAGCACAGAGGGGCACAGAGCCGGCTGGAGCTGGGGCAGAAGTGAGCTCCACCCTCTCCCAGTTGTTTGTATCCTCATGACCATGGTTTCCTGCAGGGCAGGTTACCATTATTGACTTTGGCGCCAGCACCCAGGTACTTCGGGGAAGCCACCCTTTCCCATGCCTGGGAATAGCCTCAGGGCTTGCTAGGGCTGCGCTGGCCTGGGAGAGCCTCCCCTGCTTCCTGTCCAGGTGGTCCTTTGCGACCAGAACAGGGGAGGCGGGACGCAGCCATGGTCCAGGGGAGTGCCATGGGCTTCTGGGTGACACAGACCTGGGTTTGCATGTCCGCATGGCCACTCAATAGCTGTATGAAGTAATGGCTTAGGGCCTCTATTTCCACATCTGTAAAATGGGGTGGTAATACCTGCCTCTCAGGGCTTTTGTGAACATAAGAGTAACAGCCACTATTCATGGATGGCTTGCAAAGTGCCCACCACTATATGCAGGATTTGTGATGCAGTCGACTCACAATCTCATGTAGTCCCCCCTCGGCCCTAGGAGATAAGAGCTGTTAACTCCATTTCACAGATGAGAACACTGAGGTTCTGCGGAGGCTACAGTCACACAGCAAGTAAAGTGGGGTCTAACGCCAAAGTTCCTGCCCCTGCCACTATGCTGTCCCTAAAATCAGGGGTAGGTGTATGTAGGGCCTGGCACATTCTAGGCAGGTACTAGATGGTGGCTATTATTAGTAATTACCCAAAATCCTGCTGTCCAACAAGTATCAAGAGATGACATTTTTTCAAATTCCTTTCACAGTCTGCCCCCTTTCCCATTCATTTTGACCTTAGTGTAACTTTGAATATTCACGAATTCCACTTCATGGATATTCCAAAAGCAGCACCTGTGTGCCAGATCCTCTGCTCCGCGCAGAGGAGGAGTGTGACCCAGAAGCCTGGGGACCCTGGTTCCTCTTCAGCTGTGTCCTCAGCCCGCCCCTCCCCCACACCTCTCAACATGCGTGCTCAGGCCCGGTGCGCCCCTATTTCCCTTTTAGGGGACTCTGGATCGCTTCAGCCTAATGCTGACTGATGTGGGTCAATCGGCAACTATGTGATGAAATACTGGAATTTCTGAGACGTTTTCATGGTTTACGGGACCATAATATTTGAAGTGGGGACCTGGGAACCGTCCTTGACACCTCCCTCCTCCTTGTCACCCCCCCACCCCCACCCCACCATGCCCCACACAGTCAAGAGAGGAGGGGCCCAAACTACCAGGCAGGTGGCACAAGAAGAGGCTCATGCCCAACTAGGTGGCTTATCAATATGAAGCCTATGTCACAACTTTTGGGGACAGCAGTGGCCAATGTTTTTTTTACACTAACCCAAAAGTACCTTGGACTATTACACAAAACACCAACCCACTGGCAGATCCTGTCCGTCTTCCTTCCTGAATGTCTTCTCTGGCTCCCTTCCCCAAGGCCAAGGCCGCTGCTTGGCCAGGCCATGCACCTCTCACAGGGACCCCTACTATTCGTTTCACACTGCAGCCACAGGCCTATTTTGGAGACCAAAGCCACTCCCTCAAAATCATTAGCACACAAGGCACCCATGCCAATCCATGAGCAAAAGGCAAAAGGCCTATTAGGAAAACGGACTCTAACACACGCAAAACAGCTCCCCTATGAAAAAAGAAATACACATGGCACGAACACGAAAATCTTCCTCACCTCACTGGCATTAAATAAATAAATATCAAAGCAACCATGTGATGCCATCTCTATCCCCCAAACAGAACCGTGTGGTGATAACGTGTGGTGACCAAGGTGAGGGGTGGGCTCTGGGACTTCCGCACGCAGTGTGCGTCGTATGGTGACAGGTGTGGCCAACTGGTGAACCTCTTAGACGGTGGTCGTAAAGAACATCCCCCTTGCCGCCGAGCCCACTGACAGCAAGGTGCCCCAGGGCTGACTCAGTCGCTGTGTCTGCTGCATGAGATGATGCTGTGTGACGGGTACGTGGGAGCTTCACGTCAGCATGTGGACAGTAGCAAAAGCGTGGAAACGAGGTGTCCACCCGGAGGGAAGAGCCGAGTCAGTCGCCTTTATCTGTAAGACTAAATGCTCCACAGACATTAAGAGGAATGGGGTGGGACTGACGACACTTGTTGAAATGAAACTGGAAAGGGAGCTGCCATCCCTTTGGCGTAGCTCTTTAAAAGCACAGACTTATCCTCACACGTATATGCATGGAAAAAATGTCTGGACCCACACAAGGAAGGCCTGTGAAATGGAATTGCCTTTGGCGAGAGAGACAGGTGGTGGGGCGGGGAGGCTTTCTTTCTCTTTTCATTGTGACTTTTCTGTTCTGCTTGGATTTTTCATCATGTGCCCCGAGTATTGTAAGTTTTAACATGTCATCAGGGACTATCTGGGTGGTGGGAGTTGAGGCCAGTTTCCTTTTCTTCTCTATGCTTTTCTATATCAAGAAGAATAAAAATCAATGTGTTTAAATGTTGCAAAACAAACAAAAACTTTCGCTGCCTGGGGGTAAAGTCCACGTTCCTGAACTTGCGCTGAGAGGTGCTGTGACGCCAGCGGCTGGCTCCCCTCCGGTGTCCTGACTCCTAAGGTCTCCACCACAGCTGACCCCACCTGCCTTCCACACCCCACACTCTCTTGCCTCTGGGCCTTTGCTGGTCCGTGCTGTTACATTTACCTGGAATACTCTGTCTGCCCCCTCTGGTCACCCCTTAACTACCTCACTCATCCTTCAGCCAGGTGCCAGCCCAGTCCTCCCCACAGTGGCCATCCTGTCCTGCCTGGCTGGCGCCCTGGCCAATGCTACTAGAAGCCATTAATGGCCTTTCCAGTGGTCAGCCTTGAAGGTGAGGACAGGGCCTGGTCACGGACAGCATCCAGGGCCTAGTGTTGTGCCTGGCAGAGTCAGCTGCAAAAACGTTTGCTGACTGAACTGACAGGTTCCTGAACTAAAGGAACCAACAGCTGGCACCCCAGGCTCACCCCCAAAGCAGCCCTGTGTGCAGGGTGGGGTTGCTGGGCCTGGCCCCAGACGGTGGGCCCCGGGCCTGCGGAGGCAATCTGGAGGGGCAGACAAAGCAACACGGCCACACCGCCCGCTCGGTTCCAAGGTGGCTTTCATTTCCTCTTCAGCGGGTGCCAAGGCCCTGAACAAATATTTTCCTGGAGTGAAGGAGCGGCTTAGCTCCCCGTCTGAAGTGCTGGAAACACCCCTGGGTCCGGCAGGTTCCAGGAACCAGAGGAAGAACGGGGTTTGTCTGCAGCTGGGGGAGGAGGGGTCAGTCATTAGGGCTGCCCCCTGGGCAGTGCCCACCCTCCTGGCCGGCTGGGGAGAGGGCCTGCTCCTCTGGCCTGTCAGGCCTGGGAAGCAGCCGGCTTGCTCTGCACAGCACGCAGCATGCAAGGCTTTTGCCCTGGGCCCCTCTGCCCATAAATTAGAATCCTCTGGGATCTTGAAGAAAACATAGGCCATGTGGGCCGCCATCATTTTTGCTGAAAAAGCTACAGTGGGGTTTAAAGGAACTAATTAGAATCTCAGAAGCCCTTTTATGAGCTCCCCCCCTTACCTTTCTTATTGCAGAATAATGTACAGAGTACACGCATTTTAAGTGTATAACTTGATGATTTATTTACATATACATACACCCTGTAATCACCACCTATATCAAACCAGAGAACACTCCAGAGAGCCCTTCAGAGGAGGTTCCTTTGAGTCCCTACCTAGTCAATACCACACCCCCAGCAGAGGTGCCCCTGGCTTCTGGTGCCGATTCGTTTCAGCCGTGCCTGAACTTTATGTTTGAAGTATGGGTTGTTTTGTGTCTGCTTTTTGCATTTAATATAGTGCCTGTGGTTTTCATCTGTGTGGTATGTTTAGCAGTCGTTTGTCCTTTTTTTTAATTGCAGAGTAGTATTCCATTGTGTGAATGTACCACGATTTATTTATCCATTCTCCTGTGGATGGGCCTTTGGGCTGTTTCCACGGTTGGGCTGTGACAAATGACGCGGCAGCGAACACCCTGACACACGCCGTCCAGCGGACACTAGCTGGCCCTCCCTCTGCTTGGATCAACGGGCAGGCAGATGTCTAGCTTGCTGCAGCAGATAACTGCCACACAAGTGTCCAAAGCGCTGATATCAATTGGCATGCCTTCTAACCACACAAGCGAGTTCCTGCTGTACCACTCGCCCTCCAGCAATTGCCCTTCCCTAATGTCAGCCTTCCCGGTGGGTGTGTGGTGGTGTCTTGCACCATTTAGAAGCTTCTAAAGGCTGCCTGACTTTCAGAGCAGGAGAGCAGTACCAGGTGGCCACAATGAGCGTCCCAGAGGCAGAGTCTCCCAGATTTGCAGCGAGCCCATGCCTCATGCTGGGTCGTAACAAAGCGGCTGCGCTCAGAAAGCACCCAAGGGAGCAGGAAGCCAGTGTGGAAACAGACACCTGCGATGACATGGTGAGAGGTGCCAAGGAGTGACCCAGAGGTTGTAAAGGCACAGAGGACTCAGTGCCTCACCCTAGAGAAGCTTGGAGTCCAGCCTCAAAGCTGAGCAGCTATGGGGTATAGCACTGCTGAGGACCTGACTTGGGGACCAGTCACACTCGCTCACAACCACACACTCTGAGTAGGTGCAAAGCTGGCGTGGCCCAAGGATAGGCCCTGGGTGGGGGTGCAGCGGTGCTGGGGAGCGGGAGGAAGAGAGAAAGCCAGGCAGGGCTGTGCCCACGCCAGGCAGAGCTAGCAGAGCCCCAAGCCCCTGCAGGTTCACAGGCCAGGGCCCTCCGTCAGCTCTGGCTCACGCAGCTCCAGGAACCTGGAGATCGCCTCCGCCCGCCTTTCTCTTCTGCCAGGCTCGAGAGTTGGGGGGCTGGGGTACAGGATGGGGTTGACTGGACAGAAGTAGACAGGGCGCGTCCTCAGTAGCAGCATGGCCTGCTCTCTGCAGAGCAGTCCCCTGCAGACCCATTTAAAAGAAGCCTTCTCTCCCACATGCTGCTGTGGGGCCCCCCTACCATCACTGCCAAACCTGATAGGAGGCATGAGACACCCCCTCACCCTCACCCCTCGAGGCCCAGCTCTGGGACTACTGTCCTTCCGGCTCCACCCTTGACCGCCAGCTCAGAGGACAGCCTCACCACGCGCCTTACCCCTCCGGCTCCACTTGAGGTGTACCTGTGGGAAGGCGAGGTGCTGCACAGACCGGGACACGCCTCACAGGTCCTGCCAGCTTTACCTCTTAACAGGTCCTCAAGCCCGCTGCTCCTCCCCACCCCTCACCATGCGGGCTCTGGACTGTCGTTGGGCCTCCGTTCCCCATCCCAGCTTACGGCCTGAGGCTCCAGGCTCTCCAGGGGCCCTCAGAGAGGTTACAGACAGAGGGACCAGCCACTCTCATCACATTCAGCCTCATCTCTTTCCACACCTGCTTTTAGTTCACATCCCTCCTGAAGCCTCAGGTCCCTCTTTTTGCCAAAGCTGCACCTTCTGCCTGGAATGCCTACTCCCCCGCGTCTGAGAGGCTGATTTGAATCTGTCCTTCAAGACCCAGTTCAAGCACCATCCCTGGGCACCTCCCCGACCCAGATGTCAGCCCTTGTCCCCCCACCAGCCCACACGAAGCACTGTCATTGAAACTGCACTCACCTGTCTTAACTCTCCCGGACGGCGGCCTCCCTGAGAGTGGGGCCGGGCGTCTTTGTTCTGGATATGAAAACAGTGCTATCCGGAGCAAAGCCCAACAGGCAAGCAAGGCAGAAAGTGCAATTTAAAGCAGAAGCTGGCGGCAAATTAAGAAGCAACACAATCAAAGATGGCTCATTCATGTAGAAAATAATTTGAATGAAGTCTTAATGGAACGTTCAGTGAGTCCCCCATCCCCATACGATGCATGGCACACACAGGCCATATGGGCATGATCCAAAGGTGAGGGGGAATGATGTCATCACGCTCAGCTGCTCAGGCCCAGGCATGGGGGGTCTTGGGGAAGCAGAAAAGAGGGAGCAGAAGGGGTCAAGGTCACGGGAAGTGGGGCAGCAAGCTGAGAACTGAGGAGAGTTGGGCAGAGACATCCCTTGAGGCCAAAGTGCCTGAGGGACTTGAAGATGTTGTTTAAACTCCTTCATGTTTCAGCTCCTTCACTGTTAGTCTCTAACTCAGGAAAGCCTGTTTTATGGTACCCCCCCCCCATCCTGGCAGTGCCCTGGGGCAACAGAGCAAGAGGAGAAAGTGGTGGGCCAGGGGGTGCAGTTTAACCTTTTGGGATATGACAAGAGCAGGTGACCCAGAAGGCTGGGACCTCAGAAGCTTGCAGGTGGAGGGGACATCCTCCCCACTCCTAGTGCCACTTTCAGTGTGTGCCCAGCCCATTGTGGGCTCAGGGGCCAGGCTGCCCGCGTCCAAATCCCGGCTGCACTGTTCACTGGCGTGCTATCTTGGGCAAGGTGCTTCCTCTCTGTCATACATGTTTTGTCTGTAAAGTGGGGGGTCATTAACAGCCGTGCTGTCTCATCCCGGTTGTCAGCAGTGAGCGAAATAATCCAGGTGTGCTGTCTAGCAGTGTCCAGCCGAGAGTAGGCTAAATGAAAGCATTACTATCCAGGTAGCCTTTTCTGCAACTGGGCAGCTCAGGGACTTGCAGGAAATAGGCACGTGGTGCTTTCAGTGTTTGTTGAATGAATTACCGACCTGAAGATGTTGTCTCAGCCTCCGAACGCTTTAAGCACAATGTGTCAGGGACAGCCGCATTCTCCTCTGCAAAGCCACTTGGGGCCACAGTCCCTGCCCCACCAGCAGGTGCAGGGCCAGGAAGGAATGGTGCCCCGCTCCGTGTCCCTAGGACGCACCTGGGGTCTGGCTTCAGGGGCTGGCCTGCACCCAGGCCCAGGCTTCACGTCAGGTACTAAGGGCCCCAGCCATGGAGGACCAGCTGATGGGGGGAGCAGGGTGGTCTGCAGCTTATATGAGATTCTGAGTAAGGGGAGGGCAGCTAGATGCCCTGAGAATACTGGGGCTCCTGTGGTGCACAGCTCTTTTTAACCCCCCCAAATTTCCACTGCAGTTTGTCCCTAATGTGCAATTTTTTTAGACCTTTGGCACTGAGACCGTTGGCTAGTGAGTTCTCAGAAGTCTCGCAACAATGAGGACTCAGAAGAGCTAGCAAACTTGAGTCAGTAGGGAGCCTCGTCTCTGAGGAAGGGAATGATCTAGGACAGTGAGGAGGGGCTGGGCAGAAGAGGGTAAAACAGAGAGCCCTGGGGGGACGGCAGGGATGAGGGCTGACACAGGGCCAGGGGGAGGAGGGCAGAGGTGGGCACAGCTCCCCTTACAGCGGAGGGACCCGTGCCCTTCCACTATCCTTCACCAAACCACTGCCCAGCCAGAGCCAGGCTGTGACAGGGGAGGACATCACCAGGCCAAGAAGAGACTCAACCACCACCACGGCCTGGAATGACAAGTACCGTTTATTAGCATCACATGAATGGGCCCAGCCACAGGCTCGGCGCCACCAAAGACCAGCAGACATGAGCATGGTCACAGACCCCTTCCCCATCCCCAAGTCTTGTCCAGTCATCCACTCTGGGCAGAAGGTCCCAATGTTGAACACAGGGCACAGGTTCCCTTTGTTGGGCGGTGCGTCTCTCTGAGTCACAGATGCCCCCCCCACACACACACACTTGGAGCAGCCAACACAGCAGCTGGAACGTTGTCAACTTAAATAAGCAAGTACAGGAGTTCCGAGAAGCCCCGGGCTGGGGCCTCTGGTCCTAGCAAAGGTGTGAGAGGAGGCCTGTCCAAGGTGTCTGAGAGGCAGGCCTTGGCTCCAGGCCTCAGTGGGGCCAGCGGCCTCAGGTCAAGCCATGCTGGGGCTGTCACAGTTTCTTTAACCATTTAGGAGACGGTGCTTGGAGCTTGGCAACACATACATTTACATCAGGCCTTACATAACCATAGCTGAACCTACTGACCTCCAGAAGAATTTTAGCAAAGACGAAAAAAACCAAACACACCAGAGGGACTCCAGGCCCAGAATCCCTCCCCGCGGGAAAGACGAAAGCGCAGAGCTTTTAGCGTTGGTGTGTAGTGTTTAGTGTTTATTGTTGGTGTTCGGAGGAAAGGCTGGTCACATCCACATGACCAGCTCAGAGAGAAGCAAAGGCAGCAGAGTTCACATGGCTACTTTATATTAAAGTTTATTACATTTGGAAAATCTACTGTACAGGGAAAAACCCATTGGATTAAGTAGTGTTTTGCCAAAAGCAAAAGACTATCACTCTTTGGAACATTCCTGATTCCAGCCCAAGGCAGGGCCACAGGAGCTAATCAAAGATGAACCTGGTCCTCTGGAGCAGCTCAGTGCCAGGTACGCCCAAGACCCTTCTCGTCACCTTCCAGGAGAAAAGCGTCCCCCGAGACGGTGTCAAAGGAAGGGCTCGGTCTGCGGGCCACTCTTTGGGCCCACTGCCATCGCCCCCGCCCCGCAGTCCTCTCTGTCCCCAGCCTGAGGTGCCAGGATTCAACTCTCACATGGGCTCCTTAACATCACAGCAGTCCAGGCCACAGCCGTGGCCCCAAGTTCATGGCCACAGGCATGACTGCTCAGAAGAAGTGACTGCCCGTGGCAGCCAGGATCAGTCAGCCCACCAACGGGGCCACACAACAGACACTCCATACCCTGTTGCACACGTGAGCGACAAACTCAAGAGACAACACATTAGCTAGGCCTCTAGGTTGGCGTCCGGATTTGGTTCTCCTAGTTAAAAAACACAACAATACAAAAACAAAAGTCGTCTTAACCCTGATGCTGTCTCCTGACCGTAGATTAGGGAAGCCAAGATGGGGGGATAACCACGTCAACTTACTTAACTTACCTCAAAAGGAATAATGTCTGCTGGGCTATGAACAAAGAAACTAAAAGAACATGTGCAAAACCAAGTTGATATCTAAATGAGACCTCCCCACAAAACAAAGTGAATTCGGATGGAGCCCTGAACGCCTCTCCCAGCCACTCCACGGTAAACACCCCCCAGACTGTCGGTCTCTACCAGTAAGTGCTACGGATATGTCAGCCCTCAGCGCCTGCATCTCCTGCCACAGGGCCATCCAGGTCCAAAGCAGTGGGGTCCCTTTTCTCTCTCGCCTGGGGAGGGGCTGTCCCAGGTCGGAGAAACTGAGTCAGAACGGTGAGATGCCAGGTGCTGGCTGTGGTGACAAGGTCAGATGCAGAAAGCCCGCGGGCCCCAGTCTCCAGGCAGAAGTCAGAGAAGCAGAGGAGAGACCCCAGCGTGCCCCAGAACTCCGCAGGGAGCGGGCTGGAGGGGCTGGGAGCGCTGGGGAGGTGGCACGGTGGCAAGGGAGGCAGGGCCTGCAGTTCTTCACGGAAGAGGCAAGTGGGGGCCTAGCGAGTGGCAAGGGGCGGGGGAGGACCGCTCCCGTCAGGCGTAGAACTCTTCCTGTTTGCTCGGCTTCTGGTAGGCCCCCCCGTTGGCTTGTTTGGGCTCCTCCAAGGAGTAGCTGCCTTCGTCTTTCTTCTTCATCCGGTACAGCATGAAGCCCACCAGGCACACGGCAAAGATGAGCCCCACGAGGCCTCCGGCAATGACCCCTGCGCGGGCAGACGGAGGCCAGCTCAGCTCGGCTATGCCCGCGGCTGAGCAGCAGCCCCTCCCCACTGGGCAGCCCCAGAAGTAGCCTTGACTGCGGTCAGCCCCACACCAGGGCTAAGGACAGCACCCCCACCCACCCCCAGAGCAGTTTTCCTCCCTCCCCACCCACCTGAGAGAAAACTCACCTCCCAGCACTTCCTTCCTGTCCAGGAGACCCTGCGAGGCCCCGGTAGCCCCGCGGTCCACTGGGGACTCGTTCCGCTGGTCCAGTTCCACAGCAGTCTTAGGTGTGTTCTCCCCGGGCACTTCAAAGGTAAAGTCCTATGGGAGGGCAGGGACAGGTCAGGCTGGGGCTGGCCACCGCCAGCAGCAGCTCCCAGGTCCATTTCCAAACCCGGAAGCAGCTCAGGCCTCCCCGGTCACAGCCGCCACCAGCTCAGACACAGCCAGACAGGCCCCTGGACCCCAAAGCCAGGCCCCACATCACACAGACCCCGGCTGGACTGTGGCAGAGATATCATGCCGAGTAATATAAAGCCCACGTTTTTATGTGAAAATCAATAGGCTCATTTAGCGGAAAGCACAATTACCATGCCACTGTCAGATACATTGAGACTTGGTAGAACTTTTACACTTGCAGCAGGGACCTTGCCCAAGTTTGGGAAGCCCTCTTTTGAGCGATCTTGAAGGACTTTTTTGCTCTGGTCTCATATTTAGCCCGTCCCACCCTGGACTCAGTCCTGGGGGCCGGGAATGTGGGGCCTCAGGACCCTGTCCTGTTTTCACGGTGAGGAAAATGATGTGTTCACAGGGCACAGCGTGCTGAGTGTGCCAGGAGACCAACCTGTGCCCCCCCTGCCCCGAAGGCTCTGTGCTCAACCAGGCACAAGGGGCCACCTCACCCACTGGCCACCCAACATCCCAGGAAACAGAGGACTACAGTGGGCAGACACTCACCTGCTCCCCAGAGCCCTCTCCTGCTGGGATGTGGGTGACAGCTCCATCCTCAGCAGCCTTCTCGGTGGCAGAAGGATCTCTGTCCTCCACGCTGGGAAGGCGAGGGTCAAGATGGCCGGGTCCTGTGGGCGCTGAGGTCTCGTGGCGGTCCGGCTGCATGGCCCTGTGGGAGGTGGCAGGCGCCTGGGCAGTGGTGGCTCTTGCTGTGGATGCCCGGTGAGTGGTTGGGTGCGGTGTGGTCTCACTGGGTGGAAGGGTTGTCTCCTTCTGCAGGCTGGTAAAGCCAGGCTCCGCCTTTGCCAGGAGCACCGCCTCTCTCTCCTCAGGCCCTTCTCCAGCCGGCAGGATGGAGGTGGAGACAGCGACGGTCTCAGTGCTGGTGGGCTCTAGAGCTGTGGGCACGACTGTCAGGAGCCCCATGTCCTTCCAGGTGGTGGGGGTCTGCTGCGACAAGGTGATATCTTGCAGAGCACCTGCAAGGCCAGAAGCAGAGCGTGTTGGGGCGGGAGAGACCTCAGAGCATGCAGACCAGCCAAGCTCAGATGTGAGGATGGCTTGGGTGAGGACCCACGGCTCCGGTTCCCAGGCCAGCATAGCAAACTCGTCCTCCCATGAGAAGCTCTGTCCCCCAGGGTAGAGCCAGCTGAGGCTCAACTTGACTTTGGAAAATGGACAAGAGTTGCCTTTGTATGGGACAGCCCGGTCTCTGGGGCCATGAGACACCAAGGCCACCTGGGAAGAAACCTTTCCTGTAACTGCTGAAGCCTGCTCCCTGGGTGGGGGCATCCCCGGGGGGCCCGGATGCCTTATCCCCAGTCACACACCTCTCTGGCCCCCTCCCGGCTTCCCCTGCTCTCTCCCCAGAAAGGTCCAGGCCCCCAAGAACAGAGGCCTATGTCCTGCCTTCCAGCTCCTGGGCCCCTGCCTTGGCCTCTTTCCCCATTGATGGCCTCAGCCCTCTTCTAAGGTCTAGTTCAAAATCACCTCCTCTGGAAGGCCTCCCTGACCACCTCTAGCTAGGGACTTCGCTTCCCTGGGAAAAGGGAAAATGGCGAAGATAAGGAAACATAAAAATACACACTCCACCAGGCTCTGTGCTACCTTACAGTTCCCAACAACCTTATGAAGTCAAGATATCGTTCCCATTTTACAGATGAGGAAGTAGAGGCTGGAGAAGTCCTAGGCTGCCCAGTGAGTCAAGAGGAGAGTAGCAGCCCATGGTCTGGAGCAGGCAGCCTCTGGGGCCTCCTGGAACCCACAGCAGTCATCCCCACACACAAGCGCTTTCTCCTCCTCACAGGGCGGACCCCATCCTCTTCCCCGGCACAACTCTTTGGGCTCATCCAGGGAGCTGCCTGACCGCCAGCCCCAGCCCACTGCCTATTGCCATCTTGGGGAGGGGTCCTCATGCCAGCTCACCTGCCCCTGAGCCGGAGAAGTTGTCAGAGTCATCCCCAGAGCCATCCTGATCTTCGGGGGGCACATTTGTGGCCACAATTTGCTGGGAAAAGATCAGAAAATCGTATAAGTGAAGGCTTGGCCAGGGTCCTGCAATTCCAGGGTCCCCGTCCTAGACAGCTGAGTAAATGCTCATCTGTCCCCCCCCCCCCCCCCCATATACACAGCACAGGAAGCAAGCCCTTGCAGGTGGCCCAGGACCCTCAGTTCTGGGCAGTCCTTCGGTCTTCTACACACCTCCTAATGCTGATGACAAAGCCCTGTGTCAGGTGCTGGGGTTGCAGAAACCCACGAGAGGGGACAGGGACCTTGCCCCAGACACCATTACTAGGAACACAGACGATGGCTCCCATGGGACCCCATCAGCCCACCCTACACAGCGAGTCAGGTTTTGGGGTTACTGGCCAGGGAGCTTAGGGGTCCAAGATGGGTTTTCAAGAGCCCCCACAAACAATGTCAGTGCCCTGGCCCCAGAAAGGCAGCCTCCAGGAGTGCTGGGCACCAGGGTCTCGATACCCAGGGCTCTGCGGGTGGGGGGCGGGGACGGGCATGGACTGAGTTGTCTGCGCTGAGGCAGGTCTGGCCACGATGCTCCTTCCCACACCCGGCCCGTTTTCTCATCCGTAGGAAGGACTGGGGTGCTCATCAGGCTGGCGACAGATGGGGCTAATCCAAGTGGGGCCTTGCACTAAGGAGGCGCTGACAAACGGGATATGGGCCCAGGACAGGCCCTGTGTGCAAACAGCCACCCCAGGAATGCTGCCTGCCTGGCCCCGAGGCTTCAGGTGCCCGAGTTCCTGGGGCAGGGGCTGCATTGGCAAGACACACCACACACAATTGGGTGGGCCTGTGCAGAAACGCTGGCGCTAGGGCAGCAGGTGGGGAGGAGAGGAACCAGCAGCAGGTGGCAGAAAGGGTAGCTATGAGTGACCCAAACAGCCCTGTAACACAGTCCAACTTGAGAGGGCCTCAAGGTCATGGGCCAGAACCAAAAAAACATGAATAGAGAAGTGGGACAGCGTAGGCCAGAGCCCACCGTCTTTAGAGAGCCCCCGGCTTCTGCCACTTACTAGCTGAATGGCCCTGGGGACATCACTAACCCTCCTACGGCCTCAGTCTCCCCATCTGTGAAATGGGGCAATAGTATCGTCTACATTCCAGGATTGCTGCAAAAATTCAGTGAGTTCATCCACACGAAGAACCTAACAGAGTCCGGCCCACAGTAAGCACCCCACCAACAGTGGGGGCTGCCGGAACTCAGGGAACAAGAGCTGCTCCACATGGAGAGGGGAATTTTGGGGCCTGTCTGGGAGGAGGTAGAATGGAGGTGGGGACGGTTTCAGAAGAAGAGGGGGCAAGAGGGAGCCGGTGTGCAGGAGGCTCTGTGCATGCTTGTCAGGAGGCAGGTCCCACCCAACGCTGGGCTTTAGGGAACTGGGCCTCCTCAGCCCAAGAAGCCTCACCAGGTCCTGGCCACAGGCCACAGGGTCTCGCTCTTGCATGGAGCAGAAGAGGGAGAGATAAGCCCTCTGGCCTCCAGAGGTTGCCTGGGGCAGATCTGGACCAGGTGGGGGCTTCACACCCACAGCCTAGGTGAGAGGGAAGCTTCAGACACGTGTAGAAACTGAGAGGCTAGAAATACTACTGAGCTTCCTTTGAAAGTACACAATTCTAACTGTACCTTCCCCCAACCCCTTCCCGCAAAACCCAATAAAAGGGTTTTGGCCCCAGAAGGCCCATCTACAATGAATAGTCACAGTCCCTGACCTCCACCAGCACCTGAGGCCACATCCTGTCTCTACCATCCCCAGTGGTGCTTCCAATACCTGTCCTGCCACCACAGAACTTCAAGGGGGGGGGGGAGCCTCCCCAAACCCACCCTCCCACTCAGTAACAAAGACTACTGCCTACCAGGCAGGTACAGAGTGGGCAACCCCCACCCACATACTCCCATCCAGGCCCACGGCAACTGCCCCCAACTGGGCAGCTGGGGGGGGGGGACAAGCATTCAGGGGTCCCCACCCACCCACACTCGCCAAGACCCTGCTTCACCTTTGTCCGATGCCTCTGCCCACCCTCACTGTCCCGAGGAGGCCCTGGGCTGAGCAGCCATCCCGACACACCGACTGCCTCCCTTTTTCAGAAAGCTGGACATGGAGCAGGGGTCTGGCCTCTGGTAAGAAGTGCCGACTCTTCCCACAGCAGAAGTCAGAGGCGCGGGTCCAGGCCCTAGGTCACAGGTGAGGGGACTAAGGCCTGCACACAACTCAAAGCCCTGGGGCCCTGTCAGGCTGAGAGGCACCGCCCCAGGCTCCATGCGGAGAACGGAGCACGCCAGGGAGAGCCAGCCTCTCACCTACAGAGAAGCCCCAACAGGTTAGCCGTTTCTCAAGGGCAGGGCCTCGCTCGTGACTAGATAAGACTTTGGATCTGCCCAGTCACTAAAAACAACTTGTTTCCTCAACTCTGCTCAGCTTATCCCTCCATCTTGTTCACCACAACACGGTCTTAAGCAAACACTTTCCCCACTGAAGCCAGCTCCCTGGCCTCAGGGCAAGCTCTGCCCTCTCAGGGCCAGGTCTCCACTGAGGAGATGGGCCACAGTGACCCCCTAACCCCCTCTCTCCACCTCAGCCTCCTGTGATGGCCTCAGCTCCCCGGGGAGGAATCAGCAGAAACCGCTGAGTTTGAACTTGGATGACCAGGTGCCAGCTGGCTCTGGGGTGTGGGGCGAGACTTCCAGTTTCACCCAGCAGTCTGCTGTGCTAAGGAGGAGTCTGCACCCAGCTGCCTCCAAGGCCACATGTGGGGCACTCCTCAGCACTGCCTCTGACCCTGGTCCTTCCAAGAGGCCACCTGCCCCTGGCTCTGGGCTGCTTGGGGACAGGTTGGCCCAGCTTGGAAACTACCTTGAGCGGTCTGGGATGGGAAGGGCAGGCCAGCCCGTACCTTTAATGGGGCCCTTTATCCTCGCCAATCCCAGGAAAATCAGCTTTTCATACAACAAATCAAAACCCTTGTGGTAAAAGTAAGGTCTAAATGTCAACATGTTCCGTTCGCTCAAAGCAAGGGCCAGTTACTCCTTCTCCACCCACAGTACAGACCCTTGGAAGCCCAGGGGCCTCAAAGGACAAAGCCAGGTTTGGCACGGGTAGCGGTTGGAGGTCGTGAGGCAGATGCATGGAGACGGGGACAGGGAGTGCAACGAAGAGTCAGCCCATCTCTGCCTCAGGCACACTGGGCTTTTGGCCACAGCCGGGGGCGCTGCGTGGGGAGGACCGAGAGAGACCTGGCATCAGGGCTCAAAGAGGAGCAGGAAAGAGAGCACGAAAGGGGTGAAGCCTTCTCTGACACTGGAAACACTTTCCATTCCTACGGCTGCCCTGCAGGAAAGCAGGCAGGACTGAGATCGGCATCTCCCACAGTTAAGGATCAGGGGCAGACAGGGTAAGGGACTTGCCCAAGGCCACTGGGCAGTGGCAGCAAGTGTCTGCAGACTTCCCAGCAGCACTTCTCACCTGCCCTTTCTCTCCCTCTCCCCAGCCCCGAAGGACCACCTTCCCTTGCTGGACCATCTGTTTTAAGGGAACCTTGCCTCAAGTTCTTCAACAGGTCCTAGAAAGAATTCCTGTCCCTGCCCCAGAGGCAGAGGGGACGAGGCGCCAGTCCATACTCAAGAGGTGCCGAGGGGATGGCACCGACGGGATGGCACCGACAAGACCAGGTCAGGGCTACCAGGCGCTCAGTCTTCATCATGATGCTGCCAGCCACTCCCAACAGCAGGTCGGGAGCCTGTGGGCGGAAGGCTGGCACAGAAGCTCCAAGAAAGCAGCCTCAAGCCAAGTCCTGCCGGCTCTCGCCCTACACTGGCCAGAAGGAGCGCCACCCCCCTCGGGAACCTCCATCCGAGTCGAGCCCTTGCCCTGGCTGGCTGCGGGGCCCTGGGCTGTGTTTCAGCACCCCTCTAAATCACCTTGGACATGAAAGCTCCTTGGCAGGGTCACAAAGCAGGACACCAAGCGGGCACCTCAGAGAGGTTCAGGTAAGGAGCTTCCGACTACGGCCTGACCACTGCCCCTTGCCCCACCACCCTATCAGCCACAGCCACCAGGTCCATCGACCTGTGGTTTCCAACCCACACACTGAATCACTAACATGTCACCTGCCGCTTGACTCAAGTGAGGGATAAAACAGATCCTTTAAAATGCATTACCGAGTTCATAGGACCGTATTGCTTTTCAACCAGTACACGCTAAAAATACAATACTATGTAAGGAGGTCACAGATTTTGATATTTAACAGGGTCCTCCACTTCAAAACTTGGGGGACCATCATCCAGGGGCTTTGGGGAGAAAAGCAGGTGAGAAATGGTCTGTTTCTGGCCCTGGTGAGCTCTCAGGACAGACACCCAGGCACCCCACTTCGGGGGGATTCCGGAAGGGGGAGCTGCAGAGGCTGTGGCACAGAGGGTCACCCTACAGGGGACACTAGGGCCAGGCCTTGAAACCCCCAGGCAGGCTGAAGAAGACCCCACTCAGCCCGGAGTCACTAACTCTGGCAGTGCTGGGGGCCTCAGGGGCATGGCAGCCTTCGCAGCATCCAGTGGAAAAGAGGGTGTAGGTATCTGGGGGAGCTTCTGAACTTCTAGGGCACCGGACCCCTATTCCCAGCAGCACAAGCAGCAGGAAACAGGAAAGCAAAACGCCCCAGTCCTGACGCTGGGCTTGGCCTCTGTCCTGCCTGCCTGGGACCGAGCCCCTCCCCTTCAGTTCCAGGCTGCTGTCTTCCTCTCAGTCGGCTACACTGATGCTGCGACCTGGCTAAAACCAACAGGCCAGAGCGGGACAGCTGACTCTCTCTGGGGTGGGCCCCACCTGGAAGCCGAGGCAGGGCTGGGCCAGGGAGGGGAGCCGGTTCCTCGGTGCCAGCTTATAGGACCACCTTCCTGTCCAGGGGTGGAAGAGAATGTTGCAAAACACGGAGCCCCACTCCTGAGGCCCACCAAACGCCCAGGTGCCCCGAGGCGCTAGGGTTTGTGACTCT